AAGGAAGGAAGGAAGGAAGGAAGGAAGGAAGGAAGGAAGGAAGGAAGGAAGACATTCCATAGTCCATGTTTTCTCCATATGATATATGAATGGCATCTGAAGTTTACTGTTGGCCTGCACACACACACTTATTCACATGTACTAGTCATGCACTCACACAAGATCATGTTACATGGGACCTGGCAAAAATGAATTGAACCTCTACTAGAAACCAAGGCTTCAGCTGAGGGGTGGGGATGCAGAGTAGAACCGCAAAGCTCCCGGATTTCAGCCTGAGACTAATTTAACTGCCAAAGTGGAATCTGACAAGACACCCTGCCCAAGCGAGCTAGCAAATTCATTTTGCAATAAACACTTAATAAACATCTACCTGTGTCAGATGGTGTTGTAGGCAATTGAAGAAGACAGAACAGATATACGTACCCAGTGGGGCCAAACAGCTGTAACCAGCATAGTCCCTAAGACTTACAATCACCTGCTCTGAGAGAGTTTTGAAATCTAGCAGTCCTACATAGCACTGCCATGATCCGATCCACACGGTGAGACTGACCTGGGGCGTTAGACATTTCTCCCTAGGGCGCCCAGATAACAAGCACCTGAGCTGACACTGGGACCTAAGGCCGCCTAGTGTGAGGGTCGTATTCGGATCTCCTGTGCCCGGCTGATCGTCTAGGCGCTCAACGGGAGGGACGCTGAGCTGAGCTGACAAGAGGACCATGGGCTCTCTAAGGGCCAGCACGGAGTTGGTTCCGCTCCCACCTGGCATGGGGAAACAAGACCTGGCATGACCTGCAGGAGCAATTCCATTTGGAGCCCAGTGGGTTTTTGAGCAAGAGCTTGATGTAGATAAAGGGAGGGCAGATAACATTAATGTGGCTACGTTTGCCGAAGGAAGGGCAGATCAGCACGGCTGGGCAAGACCCCGAAGCTCCTGGACTCGTGAACAGTGCTATGGATGAAGAGGGGGCCCAGAGAACTCAACAGGGCTCGTAAGAAACTTGAAGGAAGGGTTAAGTGAGAAGGACGGGATGGGGAGTTGGGCTCTAGCCATTCCCAGCTGCTGGAAAAAGCAGAAAATAAATCTGGCTGCTCTGAGTTGGGCAGTCTGTAAGACGATGTGCGGAGAGACATTTCTGGGCAAGAACACAGCCTGCGAGGGCTTGAAAGGGCAGGAGAAAGGGGAGCAGAATGAGGCATTTAGAGCACTGTGTTTGTGTGCAGAGGTGGGGGCAGGGCAAGAACAACTATTAGCCTGAGGATTGAAAGCCCTGGCCTAATATACTGTAATGAGACCCTTGCTATGTATCCTAACAAGAACAGAAGGGGGGGGGGGTGGTAAAATGGCCAAATCTGTGGTTAGGCAGAATAGGTTTCCAGGTCTGTGGTGGGCAGGGGTTGGGGGAATCTTCCAGTGGGGCAAGATGGGGACAAGGGAAGAATCAGGCAAGTGTGATAATAATCTTCACGAAAGTTGGCCACTTTGCTGGGATGCAGCATAGCCCCGGGGAATTCTTGCACCAACTTTCAGGGACAGACCTCCAGGGCTCACTGATCTGTGAGAAGGGGAGGCGAGCAGCGGTTCCCAGATCAGCTCCTGAACCCCAAATGTGCCATCCTGGGAGATAACTGCTACACAGGACCAGAGCTCGCAAACCTTTGGTTAAGCACCTGGAACAGAATAACAAAATAACGTCACAGGGGGTTGCATAATCACTAAATAACCCAAAAGGATTGTCTCATTTTGAATGAGATTATAGAAAGGTCAACAATGCGAAAACAACCTAAGGATTCTTGCCCTACGAACTGGAATGCCTCCTCTCAACGTCACCTAGGAGTCAGCCTTCTCAAAGGCCCGTGTGCACGTGTGTACAATTAGGAGCCTGTTACTCACATCCACCTCTGAGCTGTCAGTTGTCACCTTCATGCTGGCCTGAACCTCAATCTCCTACCCACATCTGTCTCCAGGGCTTCAGCCCTTGAATCAATTAAGATCATGTTTTTTTTTTTTGCTACGAATGACAGAAAAAATAGTTCCAGCACCCGAACGAAAGAAAAAGCTTTTTAGCTGTCCGTGGTGGCACGCGCCTTTAATCCCAGCGATCAGGAGGCAGAGGCAGGTGGCTTCTCTGTGAGCTCAAGGCCATTCTGGTCTACAGAGCTAGTCTATAAGGCAACAGGGGTGGTTACACAGGAAAAACTCAAAACAAACAAACAAAAAGGATTTTTTTTTTCTCAAGTAGTAGACAGCCCAAGTTTCTACCTCAGCTGCCCAGTGCAAAGCGTCTTCTTGGTCTTCAGCCCCATGGTCAGAAGATCACTGCTGCTTGTGCAAGCATCCAACTGTGATCCAGCAGGAAGAAGGAAGGGCAAGGACAGGGGCAAAAGGCACATACCAAGCCAGGCCTGTTCTTTGTTATCAGGAAAACAATATCCCTTCCAGAACCTTCACCCGGGGATTAGAACTACTTGGCCAGAAACAACTGTGGGAGACCAGAGACAATAACGGAGTTTGGGGAAACTGGCAGGAGAGTCTAGGAGAGAGTTTGAACTGGGCTGTCACCCCGAACAAAACCGACACCTGTTAGGGAAGAACTCATCCGAATGATCTTCTGAGCAGGTCCATCAGTTATTTCGCAAGGCTCCCAGATTCTCCGTGTGTTTTAAGACTGACCCGCCACTTCCCCCTACATGCTGGCTTCTCTGTCAGTGGTTTCTTTTCTACGGTGTTGCAATACAGAGTCATTGGAGTCATTGACCCAGTCTGCTGAAGAAAAAAGGTATGACTGACAGCCAGTTCTCCCATCAGGTCACCTCCAATCAGTGACCAGCTTCTGTGGGGGTCCCTTCTCTGTCCACTTTCCTCCTCCCTCAGCCGTGTGTGTGTGTGTGTGTGTGTGTGTGTGTGTGTGTGTGCATTAGATCCCCTGGAACTGGAGTAACAGGTGGTGGTGAGCCACCCGACATGGTTGCAGGAGCTGAACTCAGGTCCTGTACTCTTTAACCACTGAGCCACTCTTCATTTAACAAATGAGAAAGTCAAGACACAGCGAGCAAAGTAATTCATACTGGGTTAGCAGAGAGGAGCAGGTCGAAAAAACCGCGAGCAGCAGTGGGGTTAGGGCCGGAGTTACAGCGCCTTTGGAGTCTCTCCAGAGGACTTCACTGCAAGAAATGATCTCAGAGAAGTGCAAGGCTGAGTTTGATTTAAATACTTGCAAGGGAGGCATTAACACACACAAAAAAACAGGAAGATGTAACAGGTTAACAGGAAGATG